CCTTCTTCCTTTCATTGCAAAAACACTTGAATCTGGCTTCAGAAGTGGACATTCAACCGAGACTGCCTTGCTCTCAGTTGTTGAAGCCCTAAGACTGGCAAGAGCGGATTCCAAATCTTCAATACTTATCTTGCTGGATCTGTCCGCTACTTTTGACACAGTTAACCACCAGTTCCTCCTGTCAACCTTATTGGCAAAGGTCATCTCAGGAACCACACTTCTGTGGTTTGAGTCTTATCTCTCAGATAGGTCCTTCAAGATATCTTGGAGAGGTGAGGTGTCCAAGTCACAACATCTAACTACTGGGGTGCCTCAGGGCTCAGTTTTTGGACCACTTCTCTTCTCTGTCTACATGGCATCACTAGGTTCTGTCATTCAGAAACATGGCTTTTCATATCACTGCTATGCTGATGAGACTCGACTCTACCTCTCATTCCATCCTGATGATCCGACAATAGCTGCTCGCATCTCAGCTTGTCTAACAGACATTTCTTGCTGGATGATGGACCAACACCTTCAACTTAACCTTGCCAAGATAGAACTGCTTGTGGTTCCATCAAACCCATCGTTTCATCACAATTTCACCATCCAGTTAGCCACATCAACCATAACTCCTTCAAAAACAGCCAGAAACCTTGGAGTTATGATTGATGATCAGCTGACTTTCTCAGACCACATTGCTAAAATGGCCCTGTCCTGCAGATTTGCTGTATTCAACATCAAGAAGATCAGGCCCTTTCTTTCGGAACATGCTTCACAACTCCTTGTTCAAGCTCTTGTTCTGTCCAGGCTGGACTATTGCAATGCTCTCTTGGCAGGTCTTCCAGCCAGTTCTATCAAACCTTTACAATTAATCCAAAACGCGGCAGCAAGATTAATTTCTAACGAGCCGAAAAGAATGCACATCACACCTCTGTTTATGAATTTGCACTGGCTACCAATAGCTGCTTGCATAAAATTCAAGGCATTAAAGGGGTCCTATTATGCTTTTTCACTTTTTAAATTTGTGTATGTTTGGGCATTAAAAATATCTAGAAAGTTACAAATCTCAAAGTCCACTCCAAAGGGAGATATTTCGTTTTTTTAAAAATCTATTTTCAAGAACTACAACGAACGGCTCGTTTGGACTACAGCGTTTGTTTTCTGGGCTTTGTGATATCACAAAGCGGCTCATTAGAATTTCATTACAAATAATTCCCGCCTACAGAAATTTGAATGGGTGGGGGGTGGGGAGGGGCGAGGTTGTGGTTAGAACGCTTGGTTGAGTGAGTGCATCAGACAAGATGACGAAGAAGAAGAAGAGCTGCTGCAGAGTTAGTGCGTCAGAGAAAACCAAGAAGAGCTGCTGTGCTGTAGCGTCAAATTTTTGGCATGTCTAGAACAGCGGTTCTCAATTCCAGTCCTTGCGTACCCCCGCTCTGCACATTTTGTATGTTTCTCTTATTGCTTCATATGTTTGTTATATTTGACTGTAAGTGCCCTGCGAAGTGGACATTACCGGATATTCCTTAATGATTCCAGTTTGAAGGGAGCATATATGTTCCATACAAAGGGCATTTAAGTGTGCGAGACGTGAATTTAAGTTGTATTTATTTACAGAGGTATATTATGTCCCACTTCATGCTTCTCTAGTAAGTTTCGTTTGTGTGTGAAGACACTGCACACAGCGGCGCAGCGCAAATCTGTAAATTAATATTCCGAAGTGAAGTAAACTTCAACGGATTTCCCCTGCTCAGGGAGTAGGGAGCAATGGACACTGTGTAGGGACCATGCCAATCGGAACACCGTTCATGCACGGAGCTCACTTCTAACGAGATGATCTGAATCAGGTGTGTTAACAAAGAGAGACGTGCAAAACATGTAGAGCGGGGGTACGCGAGGACTGGAATTGACAATCGCTGGTCTAGAACAATTCTTACAAATATAACACGACGTAGCTGGGCGTCACGGACAGACGCCGAACAGTGTGCGACTGCCTGAAACGCTGTTTTTTTCACCTCCGTGCCCAAACGTCTTTGTTTGGGCTTCCGAAAGTGGATGATGATAGGAAACAGTGGTTGCAATTTACCTTTTAACTGTGTTTCTGAGCATTATAACCCCAATTTGCTATTGTGTGCTGCGCATTTTACTGAGGACAGCTTCCACAACACGAGTGCTATTATTATCGGTAATGAATCGCCTGTGATTTTGAACGTGATTTTGAGTAGCTTGTCAGTGAACTACGGCTCTGTGTAGTAAATGCGATCCATCTGAAAGCACGTGCTGGAGATTTACTACTAATCACAGGACGAGATGCGCATGAAAATCGCATTTGATTTTTTGCATTCTGCCAGTGAATGTAACTTTATTGTGCCATCTCAAAGAGGCACAAAATCACTTTCACGGACGTTTAAATTAAATGTTCCCTCCTGGTGGAATGACCTGCCCAACTCAGTCCGAGCTGCTGAGTCCTTAGCCATCTTCAAGAATCGGCTAAAAACACATCTCTTCCATCTTTATTTGACCCTCTAACTCTAGCACTCTCTATTCTAATTATATTCTTTATAAAAAAAACTTACCCCTTTTAGACTTGCACTCTATTTATTTACTAACTGCTTGTTTTCTTAAAAAAAAACTAACACCTGCTTCTTTTATCTTTTTGCATTCTTTCAATTTGTTTTCGTTTTATTTATTATACAAATAACAAAAGCAAAAAAGGCCCCTAACACTAGCTTGCTCTAATCTTTTTCTATATCGGTTTTCTTTTTATTATATGATTTAAAAAAAAAAAACTTGCTACGTGTACTGCATTAAGCTAACTGAGACTTGTTATAGCACTTGCATATCATTGCTCTTTTGTTGATTTTGATTGCTTCCATTGTCCTCATTTGTAAGTCGCTTTGGATAAAAGCATCTGCTAAATGTCTAAATGTAAATGTAAATCTAGGACACGGCACTGAAGTTATATGTGCCTGTAACTATTTCAAGTTACATGAATGGAAGATGGGGCTTATCTTAACAAACATAGGCTATAGAATGGACTTATGGAGGTTTAAATTTGAAAAACTAAGGTGATCTACATTGTATTGGACATTCAAGGTGAACATGATGGCATCTGTTTACTGATTAAATTCAATATTAAGTTTCCTGTGAGGGGGTTCTGCAAGTCTTTGATCTTCATACTGAGAGTTAACTACATGTGAACGTTTACACATCTTTAGTTCTCGTGGCCAGGTGCAGCTTAAACTATTTATGGTGCTTTTCCACTGCATGGTACGGCACGGTAAGGCTCGGTACGGTTCACTTTTTGGGGGTTTTCCACTGGGTACAGTACTTGGTACTTTTTTTAGTACCACCTCGGTTGAGGTTCCAAGTGAACCGTACCGTTACCAAAACGTGACGTGTAAACTCTGCTGATCACGGATTGGCCGGAGAGAATCGTCACTACCTGCGTCACTGAACTTGCGACACAAACACAAAAGAACCGCTAGATTTAAATCAGCACAGCCAGCGAAGGATTGAACGCAACTGTTTTGAACGAGCGCACCTTTTTTTAACAACCAAAAAGTTTTGTTGTCTGTTGTGGAAGAACAGACGTTCCTCTCGTTGATAGCAGAGCTTGATAGGGCAACGCGGAACTAAAACGTTTTTTTAGGAGTCGTGGTAGTAGAGGCGGCGCAAATATAACGACATGTGAATAATCCCGCCCACTCTAAAGCGGTACTGAACTGCAGTGGAAACGCAAACTGTGCCGAGCCGAACCGTGCCATGCCGAGCCACGCAGTGGAAAAGTGCCATTAGGTACTGTTATCTTTGGGGAGTAGGTTTGGTGAAGCTCACAGTCGGGGGTTGATTTCCTGTATTGTCTTTAGATGTTTTGTTTAAGAAGTCACTTCTGAGGCTAGGTGTTAGATCAACACCTTTAAGGGCTGCCCACTGAATGCCTATAAAATACAATGTATGCCTGCCTTAGTCAGACTTTTGATGACTGCAGCGCCACAAAGCAAGTTCTCAATAAAGTGCCCAGCTGAAGATACCCAAGATTCTCCTGGTCTTCGCTTCTGAGATTCCAACAATAGTTTTAGTTAACAATAACAACAATGGTTTAAAGGTGCAATAGGTGATTGTCTTCAGAAACATTTTTTGTTATGCTGGTTGAAAGTCTCTTCACATCCCGATAGCAATCATTAAGTTAAGTGGTCTAAATGTATTTATCTATATTTATATATTCTGTGAAAGGTGTAGGACCAAGAAATGTTCGTCAAATCAAAACGCTCGGTCCGAGCGTTTAAATTGGCTTTCCTACCTGTCTGTCAACGTATGTATTAGCATACAGTACCTCTGTGTACCTGGTTCGCGCAGACAGGATACGTCATCAGCGCATTCACACACGCTGTGCAGACAGAGCGAGAATGGCAGACAAACATCAACAACCCGATCTTCCTTCCTGGTATTGTAATACTTTTAAAGTTTTCTCACCGTGAATGACACATGATGTAGCCCAGCGGTTCCCATTCCAGTCTTCGCGCCTCCCCTGCTCTGTATATTTTGCATGTCTCGCTTAGTTAACACACCCGATTCAGATAACCAGCTCAATTGGAAGTGAGCTACGTGCATGAACTGTGTTCCGATCGATATGATCCCTACACAGTGTTCATTGATCCCTCCTCCCTGAGCAGGGAAATCCGTTGAAGTTTACTTCACTTCGGAACATGGGCTGGAATTGGGAACCGCTGATGTAGCCTATTGTAGTAACGTTGTCTCTGGTATTCTGGTGAGCGTTTATGCGTTCAGGGGGTGTGGCTTTGGACGGCGATTGCAGGGAGGGTGGGACGTTCATTTCAGTGCTATCAGGCTAAAGTTAGCATTTTCCAAGATCTCCTACTGCACCTTTAATTGTCATGAGAATATCACAATTCATAATGTCTTAATGGTCCTAAAATGGTCCTAAAGTTTTCTGTTTTTAATAAATAGGTTCTTGTTCTTTCTAATGTTTTTGTGGTGTAATATGAGTTGCTGACCTCTCTGCGCACTGTATAAAGTGTTGACACACGTCCCAGGCGTCCAGCACGGGTGATTTGAGCGCCGTCTCCGCCTGTCGTTTCAGACATGCTCCGTTCAGTGTGGCGTGAAGCGCTCGCATGTACAGAGACACCAGCGGCTCCAGCGCTGGATGAGGATGAGTGAGCTTCACAAAATCCACCGCTGCAGAAACCTGGACACATTCACACCACCAGAACAATATTTACAATTCTCAGTTAATACATGTTTAACCCTCTGGTACTGTGGGCGTGACGGTCAAAAATGACTGATATTTTTTTATTTCAATGAAATGAATGTAATATATTTTAGTTTGAAAATGTTTTAATTTAATATTTTGTATTTTTAGGGGATATTATGGTAGTGAATTATATTTACGCAGTAGTTACAATTTATTATTTGTTAACCACTTTTTGAACATAGAAGACACTTGCTGATTATTGCTGAAGTGAAAAAAGTAAAAATAATAATAAAACGTTTAAGTTTATTGTTATGAAAAATGCACAAAAATACTGTTTTCAAATTTTATATGAAATATATTTTCCAAAACATGTTTTACTCTAAAACTGTGAGAAAATAAATTTGAACAAGTTGTATTCCAAATCTGAGGTTGATATCTAAAAAAAAAGAGCTTTCAGGAGGTTTTGTTTTTTAAAATTTCAGGAGGTTTTTAAAATTTGCTTCCCATTTGTTCCAATGTGGTCATTGTGTGACTATTTTATTCAGGACCACTTAACCTTTTCTAATCATACGAATAAAAATACAAAAAATACAAAAAATGTTTTAAAAAAATAAAAAAATCCAAAATGTTAAATTTTTCAGCTAAAAAGTGTTAATTTATGAACATCATGCAGTAGCTGGATGAGACTCGGATGAGATGTTGGTGTCATGTGACTCACTGCTTCCTCCTCATTGGCTGTGGCAGACAGCAGGACAAAGGGAATGGCCATGGGAAGACATCCTATAGCATTTAGCTGACTGTCAGCACGGGATGTGCTCAACATGCATTTGGAGCGCTGCTCTGCAAACTCCAGAACCTGAAAGCAAGACAGGATCATCAGGAATGAACTGAACTGAATCAACAATGATTTCAAATGAATAATGACTGTTTACTACTGTCTTTAGAGCTGAATTCTGTTTAGATCATCGAATTTCTGTTTTCTCATTTATCACCGTGAAGCTGTTTAGAAACAATCTGTATTGTATAAAGTGCTATAGAAATAAAAGTGACTTGACTTGACTGACAGTGAACCGATGGTCTGACTTAAGATGCATTTACCTCTCTAGAGGACGTAGGTCTGAGTTCCTGCCAGTCAGAGAAGAAGCTTCTATGGAAGGACTCGGCGTACGTGTCGTTGTGTGAGCCGGGACGTGTCATGAACTCAGTGTAATCCGACAGTACGGCGGCTCGTGCTTCAGGATCAGCCATACTAACGAAAGCACCGGTGGACAGAATGCGCGCAACTCTCAGAGCACAGAGAGTGTTCAGCGTGTTTCCACCCGCGTGAAGACCTGCGGGAGTCAGAGATTCAGAACTACAGTTACACAGTAAATCACACATTTCACACGCTTCACATAACAGCAGGTTTCAGGTCACACATACACTCATACATTTTAGTCTGTCATCATTCCACTTTCAACTGCATTATAGTAACTGTAATTTTGTTATGTGCTTTTGTCATTTTTATTAGCTTTAATTTAAAATATCTGATTAGTTTTAATTAAATGTTATGCATTTAAGTTATAGTAATATTGTTACGTGCTTTTATCATTTGTATTAGTTTTTTAAAAATAATTTCTATTTAGTTTTAATTACATTTTATGTTAGTTTTAGTTTAGCAATTTTGTTATGTGCTTTTGTCATGTTTTTTTTTAATATTTCTATTTAGTTTTAATTCATTTTATTTCAATTTTATTAACTTTAGTAATTCAACTTAAAGTTATTGATTTCAGTTAGTTGCCAAGGCAGCATTTCTAATAACTCTATCTGACATGCATGCAGTAAATGACACATTTCACAGACAGAAATAAAGCCGTATAATCAGTTGCTGAAGATCTAGTTACTGCATGACTCAAACTAAACATGTGTTTCTCTCCTGTGATTTTCAGCAGCTCTTGCTTTAGTTCTGTGTTGATTATCAGTAGACGGATTGGCCAGGTGATCAGGTATAAGGTCACTCATACGTGTTTGTCTGTTACCCTGATGGTAGTGCACTGATCCACGTGGATCCGTCCAGAACTTCAGCTTATCATGCAGAATCACGTTCCCCACGACATGAGCTGCGGTTCCGGTTGATCCGGCTCTGCGTCCACTGCCAGCTACACAATAATCACACACAGCATGATTACATGCAAGCATCAGTAAAGCAGTACCAGCAGTATTTCAGCTGTACGACCTGTGCTGGACAGGCTTAGGATGCTGGATGGGTGTCTGCCCCGCGGCGCATTGAATCCAGTGATCCAGCCAATGAAGTCCCTCCTGATGTCTTGGGTGTTGTAGTACCAGTGGACGGGCATCGACATGGCATCCGCTGCACACATTCCCCACAGCGCTTCAGAGACGGCCCGCCTGACCTCAGTCATCTGCAGTGGACACAAATAAACACACACATATACCACAGTAAACATGACATGTTCTGAGATCATCAGATGATACTTGTGTCAGCTCCAAAACCTACATAATCAATGGATAATACACACTGCTCTGTTGTCAATGTATCTGAAAGTTTTCAATAAAATACTGCAATAAATATAATTTATAAATAAAAGGCATTTTGAAACTAACATATAAATATGGCATATTGTGATGAAATAATATATAAATAAAATATATAACAATATATAAATAACATATTGTAAAAAATAATTGCATACTGTGATAAAAATTATAAATAAAGTGAAATACATAAAACAATATATAAATGATACATATTGAGATATATAAATAATACTTACATATATTGTGGGTCGGGCCCTGACTAAAACCAACTAGTAGAGTATGTTGACGTAAACTTTGTGTACCATTGCAGATTTAAAGCATTGAACTAACTTATGAATCATCTATCTGTACAGAAACACACACTAAACATGATGAATATGAATGAATGGATGTTGTTCTTACTGTAAATAATGAGATCCGCTGCAATGAACGAACAAACCCAGTCTTTATTGTGCAACTGTGAATAATTACATCAGCGCACAATCATTGTTACAAAACCTCACCGGAAGTACATGATACATAACATGCAAAACTACGTCACGTGATGCCACATGAATGTGCGCTTCATGCATGTTAACACAAAATCGGCATCTGTTTACTGTGTTAATGTAGTAAAATAAACTAGTAGCTACTTTCAAATGTGATGTGACACACAGACATACACAAACGAACACCGAATCACTGATGGATGGATGGAGAATTAATTTAACACGCTATATTTATACACAAACCACACATTATCAGCAATTTAGTTTGATTAAACGATGGCGTACTTAGTACGACTGTGTCGAAAACAGTAATGGAAAGACCACAGATGCGATAAGCGTGAGAATATCGATGATCGATTGGTTTCGACTTTAACTGGAACCAAAACATAAAACCATATTCATTTTGCCGAATTTGTTTGTTCGGACAGTGTGTTCTGATTCAACAACAAAAGACTCACTAAGACTCACTTTGGGTCATCATTTAAACAAAAGACCGCGATAATACGTTTAGTTAAGTATTTTCGGCTAGGTTGCAAAGTTTGCATAAAATGCTGTGTTGTGTATGGTTCTCTGTAATAACCTTGGAGTGATTCATAGACGCTTCAGTTTGACTGAATTGGTTTTAAAGAACAATTCACTCGATTCCGACACATGTGGATGATTCTTTAGTAAAGTTCCTCCCTGGATGCTCCCTATTTCAGACATCAATACAGAATTACTAAAAGAGAAAAGAGAATACCAAGATAATCAAAGTTTTGCTAAATATGGCCAAATATATTTGTCTTCATTATATTACGGATATCTTAAAATATATACAGATGGGTCAAAAAACCAAAATGGTCATTGTGGCATAGGAATTTATATTCCAGAATTTAACAAAAAAAATTGGGTTATAGATTAAATAACCATCTTTCTGTTTTTACAGTTGAGATGTCTGGGATAATTACAGCCTTAAGATTGATAGAAGAAAATAAACCAATTAAATCAGTGTACAGACTCAATGGCAGCCTTACAAAGTTTAGAAAGTAGTATTTCAGTTAGAGAAGATTCAATCATTGAAACTAGACATATACTATTAAATATTAGAAATCTAGGAATAGAAATTCAGTTTTGTTGGGTTCCAGCAAATTTTTACAGTTGAGATGTCTGGGATAATTACAGCCTTAAGATTGATAGAAGAAAATAAACCAATTAAATCAGTGTACAGACTCAATGGCAGCCTTACAAAGTTTAGAAAGTAGTATTTCAGTTAGAGAAGATTCAATCATTGAAACTAGACATATACTATTAAATATTAGAAATCTAGGAATAGAAATTCAGTTTTGTTGGGTTCCAGCAAAATTAGAAATCTAGGAATAGAAATTCAGTTTTGTTGGGTTCCAGCACATATTGGCATCAAAGGTAATGAAAAAGCCGATAAGATAGCAAAAGAAGCATTGGAAAAAGAGCAAGTAGAAATTAATATTTCAAAAGATTGATAGAAGAAAATAAACCAATTAAATCAGTGTACAGACTCAATGGCAGCCTTACAAAGTTTAGAAAGTAGTATTTCAGTTAGAGAAGATTCAATCATTGAAACTAGACATATACTATTAAATATTAGAAATCTAGGAATAGAAATTCAGTTTTGTTGGGTTGCAGCATATATTGGTATCAAAGGTAATGAAAAAGCTGATGGAGCATTGGAAAAAGAGCAAGTAGAAATTAATATTTCAATGGGAAAAGGAGAGATTAAAGCCAAGATTAAATATGAAATAATGCAGATATGGCAAAAAGAATGTGAGTCTGAGTCGAAAGCTAAACATTATCATATAAACCAAGCAAAAGTAGGAGGAAAAAGGATAAATATGGCAAACAGGCGAGAAGTAGTAGTATAATCAAGGCTGAGATTAGGCCATACTGGATTGATTGATACCTTGCAGATAATAGGGAAGAGTAATGGATTATGTACAAGATGTCAAAACAAAGATGTAGAACATGTCTTGTTTAGATGTAATAAAAACCATGAGTACAGGCAGAAATGGCAGGAAATGGAAGAAGAAAATAAAATTGAAGATATTCTTAGAGAACAAGGGATGGAAAGAAATCGATTCAAAGCTTTGTTTATATTTCTTGAAATACTAAATGAATAAGAAGAATTTAGAAACGAAAAGGTAACCAATTGTTTTGGTTGTTATTTTTTCTGTTAGTGTGTGGTGTAAAAAAAAAATTTTTTTTCCTTAAGTAATGTATCTGCCAAGTCCCTCTACACACTCCTGTACAGTAGGTGGCGATATGCAATAACTATCAAGAAATTACCAAGGAAAAGAAGATTCTTTAGTAATGTCGCCTTCTTTCACTCACTTTCATGAAGGCGCTTTTTTTTTTTGTATTTCAGTGTTGTTTATTATCTTCGGCACATAATTTCATTTCTAATCAGCCTCTGTGAGTAAAATAGTTGTTTACATTGATGCTGGTTTTTCGTATTGTTGTTTAATGTTCATTTAGTGACTGCTATTGAACGTTCAGTGTTTGTGTGTTGATCTGCTACTCATATGAGCACATCTGAGGATCTGATCGACATGGAGTGTGAAACCGGAAAGATGTTGATAGTTGATCAGTTCCATATCTGATGAATGCTGGCTGATCAGATGTGGATCAGTGATCAGTCTCATATCTGATGATTGTTTAGATGTTGATTAGTATGTCATAGGCCTATATCTGATGATTGATCAGAAGATGATTGTGTGTTTCTGAGCAAGTGAGGAGCTTCTGGTAGGAAGTGGATGTTGATGGAGTGTTTGATGATCAAAAGTACAAACACACACACAAATACTGACACAACATTGTTATTGACAGAGGTACGAACACACACACTCAAATACAGACATAACACTGCTACTGACAGATGTACACGGAATTACAGACATACACTGCCACTGACAGAGGTACAAACACACACACACAAATACGGTGATAAACACATACAGAAATACACACATAGTGATAAACTCACATGCAGATCTCATGGAGCATGACTCGTGTCTTTCCGTTCATCTCATGTACTTCAAGCTGATCATGTGATGGTCTGATATGCTGGTGTTTCAGAGTACGTTCAGGCCATGAATATCATTCTAGAGTCTGAACTCACTGTCCTCAGGAATGAAGCCATTCAGGAGGTGCTGACTGATGAAGGTTTGTGCTGATCAGTACTCCTGCTGATATTTCATCATATGTGATTGTGTGTCACTGCTGTGTTTTAGATATACTTACAGTGACCATATCAGAGTCTCAGTGTTCTCCTGAGAGCTTGAGGAATGGTGCGGAGACAGAGGACCTTCTGTGGAAGGATGGCTCACGGTCTGTCAGTGTTATCATTATTAGAGTTACCATCAGGCACTTTACACACACACTGTAGGGTACTGGATTGTGTCCCATTACTTTATTTATTTATTTATTTATTTTAGGAATAAAGGCTCAAATCATGTCTATACTTACTCACCTGCCTTAAGATGGTGGTTTTGAGGTCCTGATCTTCTCAACTGCATCCAGCAATTAAAATCATACTATGTCAAAATATGAACTATATATTTGCCAAAAACATGTATCACCGTGTCTCACACTCATCTACCACATAATTTCCTCCAACTGAGAAATGTAAGATTGTATAAATGTGTAACATGCAGGAAGTGACCTCGTTTGAACCCTTCCTGCAGCATGGTGGAGTAAATAACCTTTTATCAAGAATTAACAGATTGTAGTGTTGAACATGTTAGAGCTCAAACATTTAACCCCTTTTACCAAAGAGATTGTAGGAAAATGATCAAACAAATATGTTTCTTTGATATATGACACAGGTCCTCATTTATAAAGAAATGTGAACATATGACAATTTCAATTCCTATGAACGATTTATAAAACACATTATTTATTTAAAAATTTTGTAAATTATGGTCGTAACGTTATACATTTAAGCAGTGTTACAATAGTAGCTATTGTTTTTTTAATATATTTGTATATATATACAGTGGGTACAGAAAGTATTCAGACCCCCTTAAATTTTTCACTCTTTGTTATATTGCAGCCATTTGCTAAAATAATTTAAGTTAATTTTTTTTCCTCATTAATGTACACACAGCACACCATATTGACAGAAAAACACAGAATTGTTGACATTTTTGCAGATTTATTAAAAAAGAAAAACTGAAATATCACATGGTCCTAAGTATTCAGACCCTTTGCTCAGTATTTAGTAGAAGCACCCTTTTGATCTAATACAGCCATGAGTCTTTTTGGGAAAGATGCAACAAGTTTTTCACACCTGGATTTGGGGATCCTCTGCCATCCCTCCTTGCAGATCCTCTCCAGTTCTGTCAGGTTGGATGGTAAACGTTGGTGAACAGCAATTTTTAGGTCTCTCCAGAGATGCTAAATTGGGTTTAAGTCAGGGCTCTGGCTGGGCCATTCAAGACGTACCCACTGTGTATATATATATATATATATATATATATAAAATTTTCTACTGAATCAGGGTTTACAATAATACTACAATACTATTTAGTTATTACATATTTACATTACATATTTTTATTTCAGTTTGACATTTTAGTTTTAGTTTCAATAGTTAACCTCTAATAGCCTACTTCAGCTACTTATTAACTGAGATGGTGTAATTGTTAAAAAAAAATATAGATTTAGCCTATTTTTTATTATTTTAAAAATGCAACAATACAGAGATAAATGTATTTAATCACCATAGGAACAGAAATGTTTGGTGGCTTTTTAAATCTATGCTAAAGATATTCAGTCAAACGCTGAATTGTTTAAAGCACTTAACCATGATTTTCATTCATTGCTGTGTCTTAAATTTCATGAGTGATATTTCAGCGTATTCCCATTTAAATGCGGCTACATGAAAAATAATAGCTTTACTCAAACCGTGAATGAATAGTACAGAGAAAGCTAGTAAAGTAAAATCACTAAAGTTGTCAATTATTTAACTATAATCAATGAAGCTGACTACACTGCAAAATGAATATCTTACCGTGTGTGCACTTTGTTGATTATAAAGAGAGAACCCATGAGTTTAAACGTGAGGATGTTCTATTAATCCGTATTTTTTTTTTAGTTTTAGCTAAA